CTGCAGAAGCTCTACCTAGTGATAAATCTCAATGGTCCAAATAAACCTTGAGCATCCTGATCACATCTCCTGTCTGCTCCTGTGCAGTGCTGGCAAGTGTGTGGGAAATACGGCTACAAAGCCCCTTTACCCACCCCTCAAGGACACTACTGTCTTTTGGAAATACTCCGGGAAGCAGTCTGGGTCAATTATTATCTCCCCTTTCATCAGCAGAAAGAACAAAGAGCATGGGATAGAATCACAGCCTTCATCTATTGACAAATTGGAGACCAAAATTATCCCCAAACTGATTTCTGATCTATACAAAATAGTTTTACTGTAATGCACAGGATATTAGACATTAATCATAATGACTTTACCTATCAGATTCAATGTCATCCTTGCTCCCCTTCAAGATGAGAGAGGAGCTCTAGACCTCTGCCGAGGTCTTTCATTTTCCCACGGCAGTTTTGCACCTCAGGCCGCAGGTGAGAGCTGGCACATTCAGTAACAGAGTATACAAAATACTCCTGGGAACCACCATGCTATACCTCTTTTTGGCTTTTTTTGTTCTTGAACCCTTACAGATTCTTACCCACAGTCATGCAAGTGGGCAAGTTTTATAGGAAAAAAATATTGAAAGAAACAACAAGTATTATATTAGCATAAAGTCCATTTACACAGCAGCAGCTTCTCCAGAAATGGAGACCCACCTAACGATAGAAACAGAGGAACAGCAAACTTGTTGCTCTGATACAGAGCTCATCCATGCCAATGGATGAGCGAAAGCCTGGAGCACTACTGACAGAAAAATCCCTAGCAAGGGGCACAGGAATGGCCCTGGAAGACCTGGAATAAGAAAAACCTTCTCACCCCATCTACCAGGATATCCCACTTCCCAGAAAGTAAGTGTATGAGAGAGAGATGATGCAGAAGAGACAGTGATTGCATTAGAAGCAGATGTAAGAGTGGAGCCATCGAAGGTTTTAAAATAACAGTCACTTCTCACCGAGTCGAAGAGAGACATGCACTGTGGTGCTAGAAGTACCATCAATGAGCATAAAATAAAAAGCTGTAGCACTCCAGAAAAGCAGGAAGCACAAGCATACACAAAGTATCAAAATGGAAACTGAAGGCAAAGCTTCAATTAACCTCTTTTCTGTCCCCGCTCTCGAAGAAATTTGCTATTTTGGAAGCTCAGGGACTACATGAATAGTTCAATATAATGATTTCAAGTAAAAAAGAGGTAAAAAAACCCCACCAAAAATCCAAACAAAAATTTTTATTTATTAAGGGTGCTCATGATAGACATAGTACTTTCAGCCCTTGTCTTCAGAGCCTCTCCACAGACATTTGCCCATCCTCTTGTTTCTCTCCTATGGTCTGTATCGCCAGCATTTCAGACCTCCTCATGTTCATAAAAAACCCTGTACTTGCAATAGCTTCTGGGTCTTTTTCTTGCTTTCCAGTCAGCAGGAAATGTAGCCTTATTGGTTTATAGATCTCTTTTCATGAATGTAGAAGCAAACAGGAAAATTAAATTATCTTCATTTTACATTTAGGTCTGTAAGTACTTAGTTCAATGATTACTCTTAATCTTTCACTGGAAGATGCTCTGGAGTCTAGATAAACTTCCTCTGAAATTGCCGTCTCCTACACTGAGTGTATCCTTACCTCAGATTATTGCAGTAAGACTTGATGCCCCCAAAAGTCCTGGTCACAGCTGGAGCACAGCCTTCTGAGGTAGTTCATATCAGTCACAGGGGGTCTCACAGCAAATACCTTGTGATACCTCTGTATCCAGAGAGGTGCCAGTAGAAAACTTTCCTGTGGGATCTGATTATATCTACCAACCAGCTGCTGTATTTTGTGTCAAGTGGAGCTTTGCCAAGGTATGCTGTTTCAACCCCATATGAAGTAGCCTTAAATGTATCTCTGTGCCTGTGCATTATGACCATTAGGTTGAAACTTTCAAACAGTACTGTCCCATTCCCAGAATACAGAGATACTCTACTATTTGACTATCATGCTTTGCTGCTGCTCTCTTTATGATGTTTTTCCCTCTGGTCTAAAGCATTAGTATGAACTACATAATACCTATCTAGAAGATAGTGCTTTTACTTTTCTACCAATGAATACCAATGATAGGACGAGAGGAAATGGCCTCAAGTTGCGCCAGGGGAGGTTTAGATTGGACGTGAGGAAAAATTTCTTTATGGAAAGCATGGTTAAACATTGGAACGGGCTGCCCAGGGAAGTGGTTGAGTCCCCATCCTGGAGGTATTTAAAAGACGAGTAGATGCGGCACTTAGGGACATGGTTTAGTGGGCATGGTGGTGTTGGGTTGATGGTTGGACTCGATGATGTTAGGGGTCTTTTCCAACCTTAATGATTCTATGAACTAACCCCACCTCCCTCTGGTGTTTAGCCAAATTCTATAAGAAGCTAAGTCAATGGTGAGAAATGGTACAAATATTCTGGTTTGCCTTTTTGCCCACATTCTTTTGGGGACATTAGCACATTCAGTGGAACAGAGACTACAGTTTTCAGTGACGCAGACTTTTGTTTATCAAGTGGCGATGATGTTCAGAAAGACATCAGAAAGACTCTCTTTCTGGTTCATCTAACATAATGTGTGTCTGAACTCAAAAGCTGATGACAAAAAAAAATTAAAAAAATAAAATAATTCCAGAGTAATTTCACCCCCACTCATCACATCTGGGAAGTTTTGCTGCGTACAGTTTCCAGTCTGATTCTTCTGTTCCTTCACTGCATATGGAATATTCTCAACTAAATTTGCTCATTTGAAAGCTGATGAAGCTCAGGCTGTGCTCAGCAGATAATTAAATTCCTTGGCTTTCAGACTCCAGCCGGCCCTTAGGGGATCAACACAGTAGAGGACTGTATCACCCTACCTTAAGGTACCTGGCCTCTAATGCAAAATCCCAAACCCAAAAGTCACATTCTTTAGCTCCATACACAGCTCACTGGGAGACACAGGCCATGTAAAAAAGCATCCCAAATATCCTGCAGGTTGAGCAGAGCAGCATGTAGGCTTCCATCTAGACAAAGCTGTAAGTATATCTGAATTCTTGGTCTTTCACTCAACCCTCTGACAGAGTTTATCATTTCTGTTTCATAATACTGCCAGAGGCCCCAGCTCTGGCTGACTTTTTTTTTAGAGCATGGCTGCATTTCAGATGACCAGTTCTGAACTCAGATAAACAGCGGGCATTGCAACACGTGGTTTGTGCCTGCTTGCCAGTGATACCTGTTCTGTTTACTGGAACTAAGAGTCATGAACTTCTCAGCTTTCAGGCAGATTGACTATAGAGGGAGCCCGAGACTAGGTAATGAAGTCAGACCGGGATTTCTAGATAACATCTGCAGAAGTCTATCTGAAAACGGGATCAGTCACCCTTCAGAGGCACCTACCTTTCTTCTGCCTGAAGAGGGAACCGCAGATGAGTAATTTAGTCTACAGACCTAACTTTTAAAAGTCGAAAGTTAGGACAGCTGAACCTCCACTGTTAGTCATTAGCTTTACACACTGTGCAGCTGCCTTCTGGTTTACTTTTTCTTGTTAAAAGAACGTTATAAATAGTCGATCAGACACCCAAAAGGTCAGCAGACTGATATGCTTCTTTTAATGCAAAGTATTATTTGAAACATTTAAGATAGATAATTATTAATATAGTAAAAGACAAACATTTGTTAAAAGATTTGCCACGATCTCAGTCCTTTCCCTAGGATTTTAATATTAATTAATTGCCCATAGTCTTTTGATCTTTAAAATGCTTTCCAATATATTCAGCACATGATTCAGAGCTGCTTCTTCAAATATCTCTTCCTCTCCCAGCTGTTACATTTTTGCTGCAAAGCTTTTGCCCAGTCTAGAAAACTCTTAAATATTTCCTTTATTTATATAGTCATAGTAATGAACAGAGCAAATATAGGGAACCTAATGGATTGTATTTATTTTGCTTCAGTATCGATTTTCTGTTATCTCAGAAGTATTATAATTAAAAAAAAAGAAAGCGTCTTCTTTTTCAATACAGAGATACTGAGATAAATTAACTCTAGTAAAGTCAGCATATTCAAATCAAGCAGTAATTTAGCCCATTTATGAGAAATCCAGACATTTTTAGAAATGGTTCTAAATTATATAGCAAAGTCATGTAAGACAGGATTCCCTTAATAGAAAAAGTGTTCAAAATTTAATAATTCACCTGTTTGAAATAATAATATTATTGAAACTATTTGAAAGAACCTCCCAACTGGCCAAAGAGGATCTGCATTTGTGGTACTTCATATTCATTGGTGCTGTCTCAAGATTCAGCTTTGAATTCTGAATCATTCTTTAATGTTTTGTTTTCTAATCTCATGGGGAACACTGCTTTGAAAAATACACCTTCTTTTTCTGGCAAGCACCAGAAATCCTTTTTCCAGAAACTTCAGATAAACCTCAGATCATAAGAGGCAGTGAAAGTAGAACAACATCAATGTACTTACAGAATTTGACAGAGAAAAACATTTATTTTTTAACTAAAAAACAAGACTTCATAAAAAAGCCAGCTAGCTATAACTGTGAAAATTTCTCCCCACACTTGGGCTTATGCGGTTGCAAGTAGACCATGGTGAGCAGCCTTGTGTGAACAGCTAGCCAGAGCTTTGAAGTGATGCTATCTGCACCTTTCTTTATGGGAAGCCCGTGGAAACACTAAAGAAGCTTTCAGTCTCTGAAGGTAGTGTTCCCTTTATCACACTTTCAAACAATGAACTTTTGGCATGGAGAACATAGAGCTCTGCTACACAAGATGCATTAAAGTAAAAGAATTTGCAAGGAAGTACCTCCTATTTTGTCCCATACTTCCTCTGATTTCCAGCAACCTTCTATACCTTCCCGAGCTGCAACAGTTTGCGCTATTCCCTCTGCACCTTTAAGGAAAGAGATTCAAACAAACAAAAAACAACCCACCCCTCTTTCCATCACACCTGAGCTGTATCAAATCCCTCCTCTTCCTACGTCACTTCCAAGCCTGATGTTCCTCTAGCTGCAATGTTTCCCTTCTGCCCACCCCATCATGCTTTCCAGCTAAGCATGCTTGGCTCCTCCCAGGTAAGGAAACCTCTGAGGGGATGCACAGGAAAATGGGAGAAAATTTTAGAGGAAGAATTATTGAGGAAAGAACAATATACAGCCTAACTTACTGGGGAAGAATAAATCATGTGAAGACAAAGAGATAAAGAAAGGTTAAGGCAGAGCTTTCTGATGAGTGTTTAGAATCTGATTTTTATGATCATGTAGAAATTTGTGCAAATAGCACCTGGACCTTTGGGGTCTTTCAAGTGGTCACTCTGACATTAACAAGAAAAGAAAAAATGATGGGATGTCATCAGAGAATATTGCATTTGGGATAAAAACCTTGGTGCAAAGGTTATTTTCATTTCATAATGCGCTTTCTGTATTCCCAGCAACTATATGTGAACAACAGTGGCATTTAAATGTCAGAGGTGAAATCCAGACTTCACTGAAGTCAGCTCAGGTTTCCTGTCCGCTTCAAAGGGACCAGAACTGGAGCAGAGAGTTTTGCAAGGAGGTTTATAATCTCTAAATATATATTGGCACTCCTACTACTGCTCCTCTGCTAGTATTGCATAAATGTCCCTCAAAAACTAAACATAAGCAGAGAGCAATATTCTTTCTCATCAGTTTCCACAATGCATTGGAATGAAAGGATGAAGCATTCTGACTTTTATCATTAAAAAAAGGAAGTCTTCTTAGGGTTTTCCCTGCCAATGCTTTAACAAACTGCTCCCACCCCCAAAGCCCCAGAGATTCCTGAAACAGGGAGAGGGAGGGGTGAGAGGGAGATACTCACCTTTCAGAGAAATTACTTTCATTTCCTGGGAAATGATTGCAATAGCATATCACATACGAAAGAAATTCAGCTTCTACTGTTTCAGCAACTGTAACAATAACTACTCTGCATTTATATAGAATCTTTCACCAAATGATCTAGGTATTATTTAGTCTAGAAACTCTTTGAGATGGCATCTGTCTATCATACCTTCGTAAAGCACTTCGTACAGTGGGATCCAATATGGTTGCAGGATTTAGGAGCTAAGGTAACAAATATTTCCTCTTTAAATGAAAGCAAATAACGTAAAATTCTCAATAGACATGCAGAACAGTTAATCTTTTTAAAATTTTGTTTTACAGACAAGGAAATGGGACACAAGGAGTGCTAAATCACTTGAAAGAGGTCATCGTGATTCTGTGGGAGCATTTAAGGAATTTGCTGTATCTCTAGGAAAATTTTGCAGAGCTCTCGCTCCTTGGGGGCTGGGCACGGAGAAAAAGTTTGTATTAAACCAAAACAAACTCAGATATGCTTGAAAATTGTCAAAGACTTCAATATCTCCAAATGGATGAGAACAGATTTAAATTGATGATGCTTTTGGGACAATCCAAGATTCATGCAATATACTTAAAATAATCTATTGCAGACTTGTTCTAGTTAACAATGCAGTTCTATAGGGATGTTTTAGCAAAAGTTCTAAATTGTACTGATTTTCTGGCCAAAAATCTAAGAAATAAAGGACATGCCTGAGAGCTGAAATGTATTTCCTACTTTTGCACTTCTGGATTTATTGAAATTCTTGTGGTTATCACCTGAGAGTATGTTGGGAAGGTTTTACACTAAAACACATGTAAGGTCCCTACCCTGAAAAGCTGCAGATACAGTAACAAAGCAAACAAGGATGCTAATGACAGCCAAGTGAATTAACCAGTAGAAGCACTGCAAATGACATCCTAAAAAATGGCATTATAATCTTTCTCTTAAAATTCATTTTGAGGGCAGATTTCAGTGAAGTACATTTTTAGTGTAATTAGAAGCCAGGTTCTGATTAGAAGCAATCATTAAACTATCTATAACTAGAAAAATTGCTGCTTTTCTGCTTATTTCTAATGTTCTATTGTTCTGTACTTTTCAAAGTTAGCACCTGTTAAATATCAGTACTTTTTTAACAAGAAACTCTAAGTAAATTCTTTTAAATTGAATCTCTGTTGCTAGCACAAGCAATTGAAGCCTTCCTGCTCATACTGCCTTAATCGTTCAACATATTTATGTATCAACCTTTTCAGAAGTTGAAATTCTTACTAACTTCAGGCCATTTAATCTTAGAATTCACTTTGGAACTAAATTTTCTCTGCATTTCCTATTATAAAGCAACAATAAATGGAAGCTCAGAAGCCCATCTTAAGCTATTTGGTAATGTCAAAGCATTATGTGACCTCTGAAGTATAGTACTAGCCTGACTACTGAAAGGTCCCTCAGGAGCTAATAAACCTACCCAATTTCAGAGACAAACGCTCTGTGTATTATACTTCATGGGACAGGAAGCTGTGAAAATCATTCATCGCCTAGATCACCAAACTGAAGTTCCTTTCAGTCACTTAGAAATGCCAGCTAAGATTGCCAAAAGGAGCACATTTTCAGCAGGAACTGCACAGGCTCTTCTGGAAGGACTGCATTAAAACCAGCCTATGCCTTTGGCTACTAGGCTGTGCAAAAAAAAAAAAAAAAAAAGAGATCCTCACACATTTTTTTTTCTCAAACTGTTTTTAAAACTCACTTTCTTTGCTAAAAAAGGTTGCTAGTTCTCATTATTTCATTTGAATTGTGGAGTTCCTCAGAAAGAGGAATTAACCCCTGACCTAAACTGCAAACTCAATAAACTACTGCTGTGTCTGGGGCATATATAACAGTATCTACAGCTTTGTCACGCATCAAGGGTCATGCTTGAGAACTTTTCTGTTGTGAGTCAGGAAACACAGCAAGACCACAGAGTCTTTCCAGTGTTACCTACCGAGGAGGTGGCCACCTTTCCTTTTCTGACAGATGTAGAGCTTGGAGAGGGCAACATAAGTTGAATGATGGAAGAGTCTGGAGATGCCACCCAAGAAATGGCATGTGAGCCAAAAGACACACTGTCTTTGTAATGAGACCTTTTAGAAGTGCAGCTCTTTAGTATTACCAGAATGAAATTCTTCACCTAGCACAAAATAAAGGAATGCCTTCCTTCCTCCGACATTACGGCCTCTTAGTAATTAAAATGTTGAAACTGCATGGCAAAAAATTGACATATAAATGCATGTGTGACGGACAGGATTGGTTTTGTTTTTTTCCTCTCAGTAGGTGTTATGTGTTAGTCTGTTAGATAGAGGGATTTGTAAGCTATGGAGCTTTATAGTTCTAAGGTCAAAGAGCTGCTTCTGCTCCTGTGTGTCAGGCACTGAACTTATGACCCTGGACACTCTTCAGTTACCACAGATCTTCACATTCAGCTACCCTGAGGGTGCATCGCATGTTGCAGTTAACATCTAACATAAAAACATTTGGCATTTCTAAATCACTTCTTTCCCCTACGATGGCTGTTACTCACATTAATGTTCCAGAACACCCATTTTGAACAAGTGAGAGTAAAACATCTAGAGAAATTCATTATTAGGTAAGATTTATCTGGTACAAAGATTTTCTACACAACACTTCAAGAGTTCCAAAGTAGAGCTACCTGGCCTACAAAAATGCTTCCCTTTCAGATCTGTTTTTGCCTTTCTAGTTAGACTATTCCAGGATATTTAAAGCCTTTTAAGAATCTCAGCTAATAAAAGAAAAAGGAGAGAAAAACCAAATGCAAAAGTACAGACCCTGCATTCTGCAGTCCCACCATCTAATATGGAAAAACGAGTTTCTCTGTTTTGAAAGATATGCTAAGTATTACCTCCTTGTGTCACCTTCAAGTTTTGCTTCATGAAATTATATCAGAGAATGTCCTCTCCTGAAAACAGTGCTATAAGCTGAAGTTGGAGCCATCTGGTCACTACTTACTGTACAGCTAGCAGTTCACTTTGAGTAGCTGTCAGATTTAAATAAACAATATTATCGTGCTGAGTTGATTTTTTCCCCTAAATTGCACCCAGTCTTTTTGAGGCTGGTCCTTTGTTAAAAAAGAGGCTACAAAATCTGTATTACAAGAAGGTGTATGATGCCTATAAACCAGAAAATGAGGGAAAAAGTGTATAGAAATGAGTATTTTCTTGTCCCTGTTGTCATCATTAGGAAATTAATGTTTACAGCTGAGATTTCCCTGTCATCAGTAAAGGCGCTGCAACAGAACAGAGGGATGCCAAAGACACATTATGCTTTCTGTCTGCATTTTTAATTCCTGCATTAGACAGCAGATACAGCAAATCAGGAAGTTTAACTGATATTCTTTAGGGGAATGAGGATATGAAAATAAGATGAGTACAACATTCACGTTAAGAAACTAAATCTCAGAAGGCAAGAAATATAGCCCAAGAGGAGCTCAAAGCTCCTCTGCCTTAAATATGGTCTTAATGATTTTGTAGTAAATTATATTTTTCCACAAGAAAATTAGTTTCATATTTCTTAGGGCAGCATAGAAAGGTAAGAAAGGCTGTGAATGTGTTCTGTCTCTTCTTTCTACGGCCTGCAGGAAAGCTGAGGCCCTACGAAGACACATTGCCACAGTGTATCGCAAGGCACTCACTGGCTACACTGCTGTATCCACAGTACCGTGTGGGAGGGGAAGGCTGTACCTCAGAAGGAGACAAATTCAAAACTGTGCTTTTCTTTGTATATCCAGATGCCCAGAGAAGTGCTCATCTCCCTGAGCATCTCTCCTTGGGATTTCCTGAGCTCAGACCATCCTTCTAAATGACAGCTAAAAACCAAACTCAGTTTGGAATAAGCTAAACTTTTCCACTGAGCATCTAAAGCTGTATCCCTTGAGCATCCCAACATTTGAATAGCAATCTCAAGATTGAAGCAAAAGATGGATAAAGATGGCAGGTGAGCTGAGCCATCCATGTTTAAGATCAAGCTCCATGAGTGATGAAACATCAGAACCACTCACCAAATGTAATTAACTCAGTGACAGGTGGCTATGCTGGCAGTGTTTGAATATATAAATTTGGAGTGGTAGCTCTTCCCAGTGTATCTCTGTGGCTGCAAACTCAAATGCCCAGTGATAATACAGATAAAAGAAAGTGTCACTAACTGCTTTAATATTTCTAGCATGTAAAACAGTACTGCCACGGTTGTGAACTGTGTCGGGAAATGACAGCTCACATACACACACATTGGTTTATGCCTTTTATGCTGCCTACATAAAATATGCCTGCATACCTTAAGACATATGTAAGCAAACTGGCCACTGGCCTCATCTCCCAAGCAGCTCCATATCAGGACATCAGGTGGTGTTGTGGTTTAACGCGGCAGGCAGCTAAACACCACACAGCCGTTC